ATATATGTATCTACATATATTTATTCATTTATTTATTTCCAAGCAGCTTTATGTTGGTGTGTGTCGGCAGTGTTTGCTTTGAGTTGGATAGAGAGTTAAGCAACTCTGCACACTCCCACACAGTAGGTTGGCGTTCTTTCAAACCTCTACACTTTTGTGTCAAGAGGGTTTCAGTTAGTTACAGGGAGATTCGTTTGAAATCGTACTGGTGAGAAAGCAAAAGTCTTAAGTTTTGATTGAATGGGAAAGGTGCCCAAAGTATCATTTTGGGTACTTATATATATATATGAATACAATTTTAAAAATCCTGTCTTAAAACATATAACACCTTTTGACCCTACTGTACAAGCACTGAAATATACCAGGCCAAACACAGCTGCAGCAGTGAAACTTCCATCAGAGGCGGTGTGGTGTGTTTCAAAAGTGTCTTTTACTCCACTGCTTCAAAGTGTGCTGAGTCTGTATTTACGGGAACCTTGTTAACAGAGTAAAGTCAAGCAGGAACTAAGGGAATCTAATTACTCTTCAATGAAAAGACTCACTGCAGTCCATGGGCCTTGTTTCTGAAGCAATTCAGCGACTGCTGTGATACAGAGCAGGTGATGATCAGACACAACTGCTGGAGACGTGACTTTAAAGACACGGGGTGTATTTCAGGAGTTATATTTATGTATGAAGCAGAGGTTGAGACATTTAGTGAAGACATTACAACATTACAACATCTGAACTAAATGTTAACCTCACCAGACACAGGTCGCTGGCCCACATCTATGGAGAGAAATTTGCATTACACACATGTGCGAGTCCTCAAAAGTTACACACAAATCACTGGGCACATTATTAAACATTCATTTAAGCTTTAGGATCGTATCATGCAACTTTCTAACACTTTTGAGACAAATTTCTCTCCAAATGTATCCGTTTTTTTCTAATATTGGTTTACTCAGGTTACTAAGTAAATAACTTAACTAATCTCACTTGAAATATGAGTGATTACTCATATTTGTGAGATTATGGAGGAAAACTCATCTCAGAGATTAAAGATACCAACATCCACAGCTCTTTTCTGTGATTTCATCTGTGTTTGTTGTCTTATTCTTCCTGTTGCTCCTTTTATCTTTTAACTGACATAATATACTATTGCGTAGCAGTGGGTTACATAATAACATGTGGGATGTGCAGTCATACTTTAGCAGATAATTCAGTTCAATTACAATTTTTTTTATATTTTTCCAAATTGCAAAAACAATCATCTCAAGATGCTTTTTACTGTAAAGACTCTACAATAGCCCAGAGAAAACCGCAACAATCAGCTGACCGCTATGATCCAGCACGTGGCAACAGTGGGAAGAAAAAAGAAACAGGAAGACACCTCCAGCAGAACAAGCTCAGGGACGGGCAGCCATCTGACATGACCAGCTGGGATTGGCGGAAGAAGTTGAGACACAGACACACTGTGGAAGAGAGTCAGAGACGAATAATAGCTACTGATGAAATGCAGAATGGTGTGTATATAACAGATAATAATGGTATTTTAAAACATCTACAAGTATAAACTGTACAGTTCCAAATCATCTGGCCTGTGGCTATAGTTACCATACTTACCAGCATAAAAACTCCAAAACAAATTTCCTTGGCAGGTTTAGTAAATCTTGTGTTAACGTGTACAGATGTGGTTTGTGGTGAATCTCTGTACCAGTTCCTCTAAAGTCCAGTTTGAACCTGCAGGATGGGCTTTAGAAAGTCAAGCTCACAACTAAGGAGAAGTTGTGGGTGTTTCAAATACATTTTTGGTGAGATTTTACTGGATGCCAGTCTAACATAAAGCTAACACACAGAGACGTGCAACCGCACACTCTCACATCCCAGCCAGGTTGAAAAAGCAGAGCTTCTATGAAATGGAAATCCACTACAACTTCTATTTAACCCCACACAGAAAAGTCCCAGCTGACCAGGATGTTTGAACACAAGGTGATAAATAAACACCGTGGTGCACTGATGTTTCACTGGCAGCGTGTTCGTATTTATCACATAGACAAGATAAAAGCAAATAAAGTTTCAATGAATGGCCGCATCCATGAGGAAAGACAAACTGCACACATATACAGACTCGGTGGAGGCAGAAGAGCTCATTCTTGGACCATGTGAGGCCTTTGCATGTTGATCCTTTCAGCAGCTTCTTCATTCAGTTGTTGCCCGCTGTTGCTCACTAAAAATGAGGATCGGAGGTGTTTGATTTCGTAACCTCCCCCATCCCTGCTGCCGCTCCTCTGATCTTTTTACTTTCATTTTACCAACGAGGCAGCAGCTGCTCCACGGTCTCTCTCTTTTACCAAATAAAGTAGTTTTCTTATAAACACTGCTCCGAGAATCCGACGGTCACCGTGAATTTACAAATCTGCGATCCGAACAGGTGAGTCTCTTCTCTGTGATATCACAGCTGCTTGTGAAGTTTGGTTTTTATATTCACCCATGTGTCGTTCAATTTTCGCTTTCTCAAACTTCAAGTTCAGTAAAAGTAGAGATAAATATTCACTTACTTTCTCCATTTGAAGTTTGATACTGTACAATTAATCACCTTAAAAGCACGTGTTTCTGGGGAATTCACCTGTTAGGACACGCCCCTCATGTATTTATAGCTCGTGTTCAGACTTATATTCAGCTGGTTTCGAGATGCTTTAATTATTTTCTGCATTACTGTCATATTAAAATGGGCGTAGGAGAGTTCAGTTACAGGATTTCTATCTCAACTCTAATAGTCGTCTTTCCGCTCCTTTTTGTCTTCAGGCTTGCTCAAGGTAAGCTTTAAAGTACATGTAAGGTATCCTTGCTTTGCAGCCAAATATTATTACTACTC